TTATCTGTCCAGTCCCTGGTATATAGCAATTAGGTGGCCATGCCCGAGTCATGGCAGGCTCCCTTTACTTTGTGTTCATCAGATGGCGAAAAGGCATTTTCCAGTAGAGTTTCGTACTCTACTCTGCAAATTATCTAAGCAAGGTCACATAAATTATCTTCAGAACATACCAGTTTCTCTCCATGTACAAAAATGTAAAGAAGCCCAGAGTGATTAGCTGACATCTATGTGTCCATCTTTAGATATAAAAAAATTAGTCATATGAAGCCCATCCCTAAATGATTGATTAGTTTTGTCATCTTCCCAATCTTGTTTTTTCCCTTTCCTTCAGGAAATCAAAGCATTTCAGAAATGAACTCTTTTGATTTTAGGGGCAAAAAGTACATTTTTGAAAAAGGCTCCAAAGATGTGAAAGAGTAAGTGTTACTCTACTACGAAATAGAGCAGTAACAAACACTGTCATATTTTTACCAAATTTCAGCCAGTGTACAGTCATACTGTGCACTCTTCAGCTCTGTTTGCTAAATGTAAGGTCAACACGGTTAAGCAGATCTGGGTTTAGTATCTTTGCTTATGTGTTGCGCTCAGGAAGACATATTGCATTCAATAAGTAAGATAATTTATTTTAAAAAATAAAATAGTGGGTTGAATGTGCCAATAGATTAATCACTTTCCACATCAGATCTACTCCTCTGAAATATAAATACCTCCTATAGCATGTTAGCACCCTGTAGCAGCAGAGTTGATGAACTAAATGTGCATAATTACCTGAGTACATATACATTTTAAGAACTGTGTGAAATTAGCAGGTATGTGAACAAACTGATCATAAATGAAGCCACTTCCTTGCTTTTACTCATTTGAATCCCAAAGAGCAATTTTTCTTTTTTTTTCTTCAGAGGGGCTCTTCCCTTCTTTTTTAAACACTCGTTTGAAACCTTTGCAGTGTGCCAGTATTAAAAAAAAAAAAAATATTATGGAACATTTACACAATAAGCCAGTCACCCATCCTGTCATTTTCCACATCCCCATTGTAATTATTTGAAATCCTTATGCTTGAAGACAAGTTTTTCTCCCTCCCAACCCAAATTCTATTTTCGGAGTAGACTTGTAATTGTGTGTTTGTTAATATAGCTGTCTGTTGCCATGAACAAAGTGAGGTCACCAATTTTCTATTACAGCTTTGCCACAGCGTTAAGGACTGTAAACCAGCTAGCACTTACTTGAATGCAACATCTTTTGTTTTATATTGTTTCATTTTGTTCTGCTATCAATCCAAATGATATCTGACATGAACTAACTCATATTTTGATAGTCTGGAGTTATTCCTAGTGTTACAGTTCGTATGTGAGTTTTGTATTTAATATTCAATGCTCAGATGTTCTCCATTTAAGATTTGGCAAGAATTTTCCTGGAATTACATTGAGAATTAATGTGTATGAAAGATTTAAATAGAAATATTTTTTAAAAGAACAGTACAAAATAAATAAACTATGTGGAGATGAGTTTTGCCATGTTATTTAGGTTCTGTGAGCATATAAAAATACATCCACATTTTGTCAAGTTCTCAGAAAAGCTGGACTAAGCAATTCCAACACTGCTAAATGGAGACTTCAGCAATTCAAGTGTCCCAGGGCAAAACCTGAAACACAGCAAAATTTGAAGTTATGACTTTACGCACAATAGGAAGTATGTTAGTCTGAGTGTATTTGCTGCTGTCTGTCTCTCTTCTCAACAGGCTGCTTCTGCCTTAGCAGAAGCCACAGCTTCACTCGCTCCATAGAGAATTCTAACTCTCTCCTCCCTGGTTTCAGTCCAGACGTAAGCCACATTGCACACAGTACAACTAAAAATAAAAATGAAGCTGGGAGATGTTACAGAGTGATCTGAAATTTAGCAGATCTTATTGTCAACTTTTTGATTATGTATCAACTCAGGA